GGCTACGTGAGCATAGTGGGTAAAAGTAACCCCTTCTGAAACCTTTCTTTCTCACCTAACCCAAAGAACACGAAATCCCGAACAAAAACACCGAGTCGAAACTACCCGTGTTCGTGAAGATGCTGGGTAAACCCTAAACCCTAAACCCTAAACCCTAAACCCTAAACCCTAAACCCTATAAATCCGACCTGGGGCTGAAGGTTCCTACTTTTTCTGAAATCCTCGGCTTAGGGCTTATGTGGTTTCAGGTTCAGGGTTCAGGGTTCAGGGTTTAGGGTTTAGGGTTTAGGGTTTAGGGTTTAGGGTTTAGGGTTTAGGGTTTAGGGTTTAGGGAACATATGCCTCCTTGGGGTTCATGGGTAATCCCTGCTGATCAGGGTATCGGGCCCCTGTGGCTTATCAGCTGCCTCTGAGCTACCAAAAATCGCAACAAATCACCCAGGAACATTCCTGAAAACCCAAACCTGAACGCTACTAGATGCTTCAAGGAATATCACCAGGGGCAGCTCCAGATTTCTGAACCCTTATAGGTAGGCTTATGAGTCCCCGAATAAGGGTCATAGTCATAGTTACCCTACTTATAACCCCACTTATAACTACCCAGGAACCTCCAAGAACGCCCAACAGCAAGGCTACTTGGAGGATCATGGGACTTAGTAAGTAAGGTTATAAGTCCTTTAATTGGGGCTATAAGTAAATATACGTAAGTACAGTTGCCTTAATTGTAACCCTACTTACTAAGTCCCATGATCCTTTAAGTATAAACGATGAGATCATCTTCCAGCTCCTCTGGGTCGCTCATGATCACCATGGCACTCAGTACGCCTTCCACAAGAAAACTCTCCCCAACCGGGTTTAGGGTTTAGGGTTTAGCCCTAAACCCTAAACCCTAAAAAACCAACAATAGACCCTAAGGAAACCCCAAAAGTTGACCTAAAGCCCTGGTGTCCCTAAGCCTCAATCAGCCAGCAACCAACCCTAAACCCTGAAAAGAGACAAACAACCCAAATCCTAAACCACAAACCTCAGAAATCTCAAAACCCTGAACCCCAAAATTAAACCCTAAGCCCTACATGAACCCTATAGATCCGACTCCCCCAAACTCTAAGATGAGCGTGCAGCCTCTAGGGTTTAGGGTTTAGGGTTAAGGGTCCCTAAACCCTAAACCCCCAACACAAAATGAGGGGATGCTGGGCTTCCGGCGGGACGGCTCCCGAATGGTCCAAGTGGAAGTGCGTGACCAAGAGGAGGTCGACCTCGTTGGGGGGTTTAGGGCTTTGGGTTGAGGGCTGTGAGTTTTAGGGTTTAGGGTTCAGGGTCTAGGGTTTAGAGTTTCAGGGTTGGGGTTTAGGGTTTAGGGTTTAGGGTTAAAGGGGTTTTGGGTTTAAGGGCTTAGGATCTCGTTATCTTCATGCCACTTAGGTAAAATGCACCTGCTTGGGCTTAAAATGTCGATCATTATCCTCATGCCCTTGAGGAAATATGTATCCTTGATCCATGTTGCCTTCAAATTTTTGTTGAAATATTTCTTATCGCCATCAGCAGGGGGCAAGCGAGCATCCAGTCACAATCCAACCGCGGAGCACAGCGTCCAGCGGAAAGAGACACAAAGCGCCCCAACCCAATCCGCACCCTCTATCCAAGCCCTACGCCCTGAACCCTAAACCCAAATCCCTGAACTTCCAAACTCAACCCTAAACCCCAGGCGTCGATGCCTGAACTCTACATGCTAAACCCCATCACTGATCTCTAAACACCGACAGCCGAAGCCTAAATCCTGGTCCTGAACTAGCCCTAAACTCCCGATTTCTGGTTCCCTACTGGGGCTATCATTTAAAAGTGATCGTGTTCAATCCTTCTTGGGTTTTCTTATAACAACATGTCAAAGTGTAGCCAAGAAGTTTAAGCCAAAACTAACGGGAAACAACGGAATCTGAAATCCGATACTCACCCCGCAAGCTTACCCAATCCGATGAGTTTCTGGCTTTCTTTGTCAAATCAGACCTTCGGAACCCTTATGATGCCCCAAAACGCTAGGCCCCGCTAGGCCGAATAAACTAACATCAACCCTAAACCCCAAACCGAAAACCTTTAACCCTAAACCCCTCAACACTAAACCCTGAACCCGAAACCCCAAGCCGGGCCTCCTCCGGGTTGATGTGGTCGAAGTAGGGAAGGCAACTCATGCCGCTATGGGCGGGGTGCACACCGCAGTCGAACATCACCACCTGCAAATTCAAGGGTTTAGGGCTAGGGTTTTATTGGTCATGATGGCCGAACTCGTCGAGGGTCAAGGGTTTAGGCTTTAGGCCCACTTGGACAAAAGAATGTAGTACCGCTTGTTGAAGAACCTTTTTTGTGGCTAGGATCCTACAGCCCAATAGTTTAGGGTTTAGGGTTTAGGGTACCCTCAAACCCTATTCTAGTTATTAAGGCCCCTATATTAACTGGGGGCATTAACCTCTTCTACGGCTTCCCATGAGCCGGTGAAGCATGTGTGTGTGCACTCTGGCACATGCGACCTCTAGACGCCGAAAGCCAGGTTGGTGCTGCTGCTGGCCGATTTATATGCAAAACCTTCACACCCGAAACCCTGAAACTTAAACCCTGAACCCTAAACCCTGTACCTGCTTGGAGGATCATGGGACTTAGTAAGTAAGGTTGTAAGTCCCCTAATTGGGGTTATAAGTTTAGTTGCCCTACTTATAACCCTACTTACTAAGTCCCATGATAGGCAGTCCTGCATTCTTCCACAGTAGCTTCCGTCTCACAGTTGGTTGTACTGGTGCGAAGATGCTCTAACTTTTTTCTCTGATAGATGGGAATAGCACTTTGGTGCAGATTGCCCGTCATAATAACGAGCAGAAGAGCTTCTCGATATTTTCTGGACTCCATACTTCGTCCAACCCCCTTGTTGTAAACTGTAAGAGCCCTGAACACGACAACCCTTAAACTCCGTCATCCGGAGATCTTGCTGACAGGAATGCGACCTTGCATGGCTGGAAGTCTCCGCTCAACAAATTTAGTGAGCCAATACCCCTGAGTTAAGGGATATACCCGAAATCATACGAGGCTGTTAATTACGACTAAAGATAAACCTGAACCCCACCTGTCCCACCCTTTTTTATTCTAGGGCTCCATATTGTCATTTCTTCATACAAAACCCCAAAAAGGGAGTCTGGGTTTAGGTATTTCTTAATGGAAGGGTAGTGGGATCTTTGGGAATAGGGGCAGAACTGCATCGACGCACAGCGCTCGCATCAGCAAGAGGCTGGGAGGAAATCGGGTTTAGGGTTAGGGAGTAGGGTTTAGGGGTTCAGGGGTTTAGGGGTTCAGGGTTTTAGGGGTTCAGGGGTTTAGGGTTTATGGGCTCAGGGGTTTAGGGTTAAATTAAGGGTTTAGGGTTTAGGGGTTCAGGGGTTCGGGGGTTTAGGGGCTAGGGGCCTCGATATCTTGCAGCACGAGATCAGCGATGCAATCTCTCCAATGTGTAGGTTGTGCCTGGCTCGACCCAGTAGCATCAGCTGCCCAAGCCTCGCGACGCAGGGGTCTTCCAACTTTTTTGAAGAGTCTTCTGAGGTGCTCTCCCCGACGTAGCAGCGCATGTCCTTCAGTTGGCTCAGCTTGTTGTTCTAGCTCCGGGGCTCCTTTTCGTTAATGATCTTCGGGTAGTCCAGGCGAAGGCGCAAGGCCATGCCAAGCAAGCCCGATATACCCTGTGCACACGCACTCCCTTTGTCAGCATTCCTCCCTTCGCTGTATTCACTCTCTAGAGATCTTGGTCCAACACTTTCTGCAATGCCACAAGGCCATCAAGGGTGATGTTGCCATGGTGGCTGGAACCATGAGCAGAACGTCGCCAATGAAGATGCGGCTTTGAGCGCTCAGAGTGATCCACATGAGGAAACGGCTCTGAACTTCCACCCTCTGTGGGTCCTGCATATTAGTTCAGGTAACGGTGGTGGTGAGGTTAAAGAACGATTCAGGCTCGGAGTTTAGTGTATAGTGTTCATCCTTAGGCCCTAGGGTTATCTGTCACTACCTGTTGTCGACTGCTTCCAGATGAACCGACTTCCCTACAAGACGAAGTGGCCCAGACCGGCTCAGGCTTGATAAGAAAAGTCAGACTTACATCTGCACGGTATGCATCGGCCCTACTTTGTCGTCAACTGTCATGTTCTATTCACTGCCCCATTCAATCCGAACCCTAAACCCTGAACCCTAAACCCTAAACCCTAAAGCCCATAACCTAGGAGCCCTGTTAGAGGAACCCTTCAAGTACCCAAATTGTCTTGGGGTGCTGATGGTAGGATCCCATCAGTTCCTGAGTGCAGCACATGTCGGCCAAGAACTGGCTGAGATCGAAGGCCTGCGAGAGCCTGGGCTCTTGTTCCTTCAAAAACCCAGAGAGCCCAGTAATTACCACTGAGCAAAATATAGCTTAAACCCTTGCCATGCATTGCTTTATTCAGGGGTATTGGGCCCTCTGGGAATTTACTGAGGTTCATGGAGTTGTTCTCGCGTGCTGCAAGGCTCCATCCGTTCATCTATACATTCATCCATCCGTCCATCCCTCCGTGCATCCGTCCGTCCGTCCATCAGTCCATCCGTCCATCCGTCCATCTGTACATACGTACATACATCCATCCATACATACATACACACATACATACACACATTCGTTCATTCTTTCGTTCCTTCGCTCCTTCCTTCGTTCATTAATTCATTCATTCGTTCGTTCATTCATTCATTGCATTCATTTAATCATTCATTCAATCCAATCATTCATTCTGTATGTATGATGCACCCCTGTAATGTGGCAGCAACAGTCCGTAACAAGAACCAAGGGACTGTTTCATGAAGGGCAGCAGTTTGCTGCTCAAGCTTCGCGCAAGCGACTCCTCGATCAGCGAGAGGTAGGCCTTGACTGCATAATTTTGAAGTTACAACACGGCCAGGGCCCATAAAACCCAATGCAAACACCAAAATTCTTGACCCTCATACCCTTCTAACCTAAACCCTACCCACTGCCGAGACACGGCCAAGTCAAGGCTACCACTGTCCTTGGGTGACAGGCACAAGTGGCCTCCGCAGATGCTGCAAGTGATACATCGCTTTGCCTGAAGAGTCTTCGGCACTCTGTAATGTAGGGGCCTTAATAATTAGAATAGGGCTTTGGGGGTTCCTTCTTAAAACTACAGTATCATATACCCCAAACATATTCTAACTATTAATGCCCCCAAATTAGGCAATCGCGTGCTTCGTTCTGGCATCCAAACTTCCTGCCACCAGACCTAGCCCCCTAAACTCCAAACCCTCAAGCCCTAAACCCTAAAACCCTAAACCCTAAAACCCTAAAACCCTAAACAATAAAACCCTAAACCCTAAACCCTAAAACCCCAAAGCCCTAAACCTTAAAACCCTAAGCCCCTAAACCCAAGGCCTTTCATGCCCTGAAAACCCCATAACTGTAGTAAAGCCTACACCTGACTCTAATTATTAAGGACCCTATACTATAGTTCCCGTCCAGATCCCTTCTCGTAGTTTGGAAAGAACGCTGCTGTAATTCTTAAGTCCCCAATTAAGCCCTAAACCCTAAATCCTTAAACCCTAAAACCCTAAAGCCCTAAAGCCCTAAGCCCCCTTAACACCCTTGTAGTATCCCTTAAAGAAACCCCTTAAAGGAACCCTATTCCTTGCTAGCTAAGCCTCTCCCGCGGCGGCCAGCAAGGCCTCCGTCGCACTTTCATCAAGGACGGCCGCTCGGTGCCTCTCTGGGTCTTGGCATTCATATAAAAAACGCTCTTTTTGACCATATAAAAGATACCTTTATGGGTATTATTATGGGGAATATATGATGATTGTTCATTAGTCTCATTACGATTATCATTCTTCTTGTTCTTTGCATCGGTTTTATTATGGTTAGTGTTATTGTTAGTATTGTTATTCGTATTTTCTTTATCCTTATCTGTATTAGCATTTTTGTTGCTACTGTTATTATTCTTAAAATGACGATTATTGTCATCAATATCCTTATTATTGCTAATATCAGCAATATCATCATTAGCATTATTATCATTCCATTTGTGATGATTGCGAGCATGCGTTTTATTGGTACTGTTCGTGTTATTCTTATTGCTATATTTCTTATTCTTGTTATGACTACTACCACCATTAGTATTACTACGATTGTTATTGCTATTGCTACTAGAACTCTTGCTATTCTTAATATTGTCGTTGCTATTCTTACTAGTATTGGCATCAGCAGAATTACTGTTACCATTGCTCTCTCCGTGGCAAGATAGGAAGGAGAACGAAACCCTAAACCCCAAACCCTAGACCCTAAACCCTATAGACCCTAGACCCTAAACCTTATAGACCCTAGACCCTAAACCCTATAGACCCTAGACCCTAAACCCTATAGACCCTAGACCCTAGACCCTAAACCCTAAACCCTATAGACCCTAGATCCTAAACCCTATAGACCCTCGATCCTAAACCCTATAGACCCTGAAACCCTAAACCCTAAACCCTATAGACCCTAGACCCTAAGCCTTATAGACCCTAAACCCTAGACCCTAAACCCTATAGACCCTGAAACCCTAAACCTCGGGTTCCTTACGTGTTGGGTTTAGGAGGGTTTAGGGTTCAGGCTCTGAGCCCGGCTCTTTGGGGCTCCTAGGCTTCAAGGTTTGGGGTCCATAGGCTCTTGGGTCTAGGGTTTAGGGTTTAGGGTTTAGGGTTTAGGCTCTAGGGTCTAGGGTTTAGGGTTTAGGGGGTCAAGGGTCGAGGGTTTAGGGGTTAGGGTCTACAGGGTTTAGGCTTTATGGGGTTTAGGGTTTAGGTTTTAGGGGTCAGGGTCTATAGGGTTTAGGGTTTAGGGCTTCTCTACTCTAGACCCTAAACCCTAAGCTTAAATTTAAGCTTTGAAGCCGAACTATAAGCCCTAAATAAACCGTAGGCTCTAGGGCACTTCGTTGGGGGACAAACCCTAAAGCCTTAATCCTATACTTCGAATTCGTCTCATCGCTGAGGGACAGCTCGGAATGCAGAAGTTCGCCTTCCACCTGCACGTGTTCTTCAAGGGTCGGGTTTTCGGGAAGTTTAGGGTACACAAGCATTAGGGTTTCAGGCTTTAGGGATTTTGGGGTTTTGGGGTTGAGGGCTTTAGGGCTTTAGGGTTTTAGGCTTTGGGGTCTTTAGGGTTTTATTCTTTAGGGCTTTAGGATTTTAGGCTTTGGGGTCTTTAGGGTTTTGGGATTTAGGGTATATAAGCTGAAGGGTCTTCGGATGTTGGGGTTTTCAGGGTATCGGGTTTAGGAATCAGGGGCTTAGGAAATACAAGGTATATACTGTACTAGACAAGCGGGATTTGGGGCACAGGGTATTGAGTATTTGGAGGCTCAGGCATAGGGTTGCATGAGGGATTCGCTGAGTTGAGATTTACTAGGGTTTAGGGCTTAGGGTTTAGGCTTTAGGGTTTAGGGTTTAGGGCTATCAAACCTAAACAGTCAACCCGAAGACGTAAGAACCTGAACCTCAATCCGCCCTAAACCCTAAACCCTTCCTGCCAGGAGGAGTCTTGCGATAACCCTTACCCTTAAAGGAACAGAAAGGAAGCCTTACAGTAACCCTTCAGGGAACCCTTAAAGACGAAGCGTTTCGTAGCAACCCTTCAGGGCATCCTTAAAGAAACCTCTATGGAACCCTTGAAAAAACCCCTCATGATAGCCCGATTTTGTAGGGAACCTTAGAGGAACCCTTAAAGGAACCCTACCCTCAAGAGAACCCTTAAGGGAACCTTTTTGGGGAACCCTTAAAGGAACCCCTTTAAAGGACCCTCAAGAAAACCCTTAAAGTAACCCTTTAGGGAACCCTGGATTTAGGGTTTAGGGTTTAAGGTTTAGGGTTTAGGGTTTGGGGCTTAAGGTTTAGGGTTTAGGGTTTAGGGTCTAGGGTTTAAGGTTTAGGGTTTAGGATTGGGGTTTAGGGTTTAAGGTTTAGGGTTCAAGGCTTAGGGTTAGGGGTTTAGGACTTAGGATTTAAGCTTTATGGTTTAGGGTTGAAGGAGGGAGCCCTTAAAGAAAGCCCCCGTCCCACCAGGAGGTTTGCCAAAGAGTCCAGGTTCTCAGCCAAGGTCTTCCAGGTGCGTAGCAGCGACAGAACGTGGTCCTGAGCACGTCGTCGCTGCAAGGGCAAGAAGAAACTGCAAACAGAAATATACAGAAGCCGGAGAGTTTTGGCAAAAGAGCGTAGGCAAGCAAGACAACTTCTGGAAAAAAGGGAAGCAAGAAAACAGGCAAACGCAGCAGATAACAACGACAAGAAGTACCTGAAGTGACCTCTCAGGCACTCCCTTCCTAAACCCTGAACCCAAATCCTAAACCCTAAACCCTCAACCCTAAACCCTAAACCCTCAACCCTCAACCCTCAACCCTAAACCCCTAAAACCCTAAAGCCCTAAATCGTTCGGCACACCTCCTCCGTGCGCTGCATCTCGGCAACGAGGCGGCCCGTCTCCACGATGCTCGACTTGCAGCTCTGCCTTTGGCGTTTCAAAGGGGTTTAGGGTTTAGGGTTTTGGGTTTTGGGTTTTGGGTTTAGAGGTTAGGCTTTAGGGACTTATTGATGATGTCCTTACATAAGGCCTGAAGAATGTAAGCTCTTTAAGTAAAACCCCAAACCCTAAACTAAACCCTAAACCCTGGCTGCGAAGGGCTTAGAGGGTTTAGGGTTGCGGCGAACTCAACCACGATGGCTTCATGGCTAAGGTCTGGGGCTTGGGGGTCTGGGATGTGGGCTGTGATTTAGAACTGCGGTAGATGATATACATCCTGCGTTACCCATCATAAGGAATATACCATAATTCCCACAGTTTAGGGTCCGAGAGGTACTGCAGGATGTATATCATCAACCGTGCGAGCGAAAAATTCCTGAACTTCAAACATCTCTGAGATAGGGAATATATCCGTGCGTCAAAATAAGGATGCTTCCACAGGTTGGCTCTTGGTTAAGAGGTATTGGAATTGGAATCCTGCTCACTCGTAGCTACTTCTGCCCAAGTTCGCCGCTAACCTCAACCGATTATGGCTTCGTGGCCTTGTTGCTCTGTTGAGTTATCAGACAAGCTGCGTGGCATTCGCACTTAGCAATTGGAGCAGCGTGCTCTTGTGGGCGTTCACGTGCACCCTGGCCTTCTGGATGTACTCGCTGACGTCACGGTGGATTGACGTCATCAGCTTCTGGTAGTCGTAGCGCCGGTCCTGCTGGCCATCCTGGTCCGCGCCCGTGAAGCTTGGACTCATACCAAATTGCGAAAGGCCGGAGGAAATACCCGCCACCACCAACGCCTGAGTTCTTGTGGAGGAACTTAACTTAAGCTACCATAACAAAGAAAGCCTACTTGCCATATGACAGCTTAACACACGTTCCTCAGGACTCAGTAAACCTTGATATACCCCGAGGAAACCCTAAACCCCAAAAAACGCTAAACCCTGAGACCCTAAACCCTAAACCCTAAACGACGCTAAACCCTGAACCCTAAACCCTGAAACCCAACTGGCAACTTGAAAAGTAGCTCCTTTGGAGTTCAGATGCTTGCTTCTGCCATCGTCGCACTGCGGGCTTCAGGGCCACTTGGCTTCCTAGGCTCTTTTGGGCTTAGGGATTAGGGATTACAGGGTTTAGGGTTTAAGGTTTAGGGTTCAGGATTTAGGGATCAGGGATTAGGGTTTAGGGTTTAGGGATTAGGGTTTCGGGTTCAGCGTTTAGGGTTTGGCTTATACCAGCCGTCTAAAGAAGCATTGAGACCACCTCAGCTTGAATTAGGCATTCCCCCAAAAGGAAAGGTGCGCGGAGGTACGCGTGGGAACCCAGTTACTACGGTATCCTAAAGCAAGTTCCGTAGCACTCTCTATAACCCCTATGTAACACACATAAGAGATTTTGGAAGCCCCTATGCCTTATGATGATCGTGATGTCAAGATACACAATTATACGGTTGATGGACAAAATCCTGCATGACTTTATATACCTAAACTATGGGATTTATGGTACTATACTATATTTGGGTCATGCAGAATTTTGTCCATCAACAGTAGGGACGTACCAAACACGCACGATGGTATCGGAAGTTGAACTTCTTAACAAGAGACCCTCTAAGACCCCTGTAAGACCCAATAATAGAGCCTTTGTGCAACCCGTAACAAGCCTTGTCAAACAACCCAGAAACCCCAAACCCGAACCCTGAGCCGGTGGCTGCACTCTAAACCCTGTAGCCTAAACCCGCAAACCCCATAAACCCCTAAACCCTGAACCCTGAACCGACGAGCTTCGTCGCTGGAACGTCGCCTCCACGCCTTGCTTTGGCAATGCCCCAAGGCCGGTCGTAGCTTGCCGCAGGGCCTGCGATCGTCAGGCTTTTTAAGGGTTTAGGGTGTCTCTTTTGGGGACGATGAAGGCTCCTTTAAAGGGATCCCTTAAAGGAACCCTTGAAGGAAACTTATGGGATCCTGTAAGGGGTCCTTAAAGGGTTTAGGTCTTAGGGTTCCTTGACAAGGGTTTCGAGAGTTCCTTTAAGGGGATCTATAGTCAGAGTTCTATAGGGCTAGGGGATCTCAAGGGCTTCGTGGTTTAGGAGTTAGGAGCTTGGCATGGTGAGGTCTAGGCTTGCTTTCAAGGGTGTTCGGGGTTTGTGTTGAGTGTTTTGGTGCTTGAGGGTCTTGGTTGAAAGAGGAGGGGGTTTCAGGGTGGTTGGCTTTCTTGAAACAGGAGGGGGCTCAAAAGAGTTTAGCCGTCCAAGGAATAATTTTAGGCTCATGGAATAAACCATTAGAAGGCTGGAAGCTACCACGGATGGCTCCATTAAGGCTGTTTGAGGTGTAGAACCTTCGGGTGAATGTAGGAAGCAGACCCGTCAAATAGTTTGCTACTGCAAAGTCCCCTTTAGTAGTCCAGGGCGGGACGAAGCGTCGGCTTTCTAAGGTTTTCATGTTGCGAGGCTTTATAAGACTTTCAAGAAAGCTTTACCAGCAAACAAGTCATTGCAGGGCTTTTGGACAGTAACAAGGGCTTCAATTGCCAAAAGCAGCCTCAAGCGTCCTGTTAAGGCTTAGGATTCTTCAGAAGTTTAGACTTTGGGTCCAGGGTACCTCGTGCATGATTCCAGAACATAACATCGGGATCTGCATTCTATCCCGGGTCAGGCAAGGTCGAATATACATCCAGGATCAGCTTAATGTAGCGGCCTTCATTTTGGGGGGTATATTCTACTATAACTATAATAAGGAACCCCTAAATTAGCATAGGTAAGTATAAAGGCCCCTATATTAACCCTAAACCCTAATTCAGAAACCCGTTTCCTGCACCACCGCACGGCTGGCGTTGACGGCTGCCTGAGGCAAATGCCACATGTCTTGATCGAGGCATTGGGTTAAAGGAAACTACAGGTGGGGAGTTTAGGGTATATAGGGCTTCTATAAGGCTTGTATCATAAGGTATATAGACCTTCTATACGGCTCCTATAACGGTAACTACCCATCTGAAAATGTCCTAGATTGGGTGTAGTGTACGAGGCATGATACAACTGTCGACCCTAACCCAAAGCGAAAACCCGCAACGCTCAAACCAAAACCCGAAAGTTCAACCCTTAAAATGCTCCTAAACTCCCTGAGCCCTAAATGCCTAAGCCCTGAACCCGAAAACGACCCTAAGTATCATATGGTTCAGAGAGCCACAGCCCACCTCCGGCGAGGGGAGCAGCTGATGGCGAAGTTGATGGAGCTCCGCCTGGGTTTAGGGTTTTAGGGTCTAGGGTTTAGGGATTTAGGGCTTTAGGTTTCAGTATTCTACAGAGTTTTGTCTAGGGGGGCATTCATGTTCAGTAGGGTTTGGGTCTATATTAAGCTAGATAGTAAGGGCCGTAAGGAACAGTCGTCTTGTTAACTATTCAGGCTTCTATATTGGATTTACAGGGCTGTGCAAGGATATTGTATAAGGTCTTAAGGGGGCCTATAAGCGTTTCCGCGCAGCAGGACCTAGTAAGGGTCGCATACGATTGAACATCTTCCTATTGCCGCAAGAAGACCCTAGTACCTAATAAAACCCTTGTTAGACCCTGAAATGAACACCAACAACCACCCTAAACCTTAAACCTTGACAAAGACTCGCTGCTCTTTTCCGTACAACAGAGCATCAACCCTAAGCCGCAAACCCTGAGCCCTAAACCCCAAACCCTAAGCCCTAAACCTTACACCTTAAACCTTAAAAGGACGAAGCCGCTTGAAGACCAGAGAGTAGCGGTACGATTTGCTCCTCGTCGCTCGCAGAGTCCACACCTGAACACGGCGGCGCTTGGGGGCCGGAGTTCAGGGTTTAGGATTTCCGGTTTAGGCTTCAGGATCGGGGCTTATAGGGTTTAGGGCTCGGGGTCTAGGGCTTCGGAATCAGGTCTAGGGTTAATTTAGGGCTGAGGATTTGGCGCTTTTTGGCTTAGTCTGGGAAACCTTTCTCACAGTTGGAAAGGCCCTTCGAGACTTGACGAACCCTGACAGCTTGAGACGCTAAACTTAAACACCTTATGTGCCCTAAACGGTAAATCCTAATGCCTAACCTCAAAACCCCTCAACAACTAAACGCTCAATCCCGTTGAGCTGCAAAGTGTTGATCCTGATTCCAAAGCCCTAACGCCAAGCCAGGTGACTATAAGCTTGGTGAATCTGAGCCAGGAGGTCGGCCAAAGCCATCTGTGCCGCGCCAAAGTTCCTTTAGTCTTAGTCGGTCCGTCGGTGTAGTATTGGGAGCTGAACAAAAAGAACAGGGTTTTTGGGTGGATACCATGCTGTACTATACTTATAACAACGCTCCGAAGCCCTGTTGCAGGACAGAAAAACCGAGGTGAAAGGCTACGAAAGGATACTGCGCTAACTGCGCGTGAAAAAAAAAGCCTCGGAAGGTAGAGCAAGGACAGCCTCAGCCCCCAAGCAAGATACTCCCAATTGTTCGGGCCGGGCCTGTGTATAGCTTAAGGTTTCAGGATTCAGAGCTGAGGCTTTAGCGACTTGGGGTGACGGGTTCGGGACTTGGGGTGTTGGGTGGAGGGTTGAGGGATGAGGTGTGAGGATTTATCGTTTAGACGTGAGGGTTTAGGGATGAGGCTTTGAGGGTTTATGGTTTAGACGTGAGGGTTTTGGGGGTGCTCTTCCTCAAGAGATCCTCAGCCCTCTCAACCCTAAGCCCTGACCCTGAAAAGCCTCATAGCGGGGGCCTCCGTTCTTAGAATGCGGTGTTGGGCCAGAGTTGCGCTATAATTTTGATCAGAACCGCAAAGGATTGGTATTGGTTTGTATTTTGGCTTCTACAGGGGCTTGGGTTTAGGGTTTTCAAGTTTAGGGTTTAAAAGTTTAGGGTATACCCTAAACATCCCTGAACAATGAACCGTAAGCCCTAAAACTTTAAGCCGACTTGGCTTGCTCCATACATACAAAGGGTCTCTTGCGCTTCCACGTGTGGAGGCTTCGGCACTGAGATGCCTTTGGTGTCAACGATCCTCGATGGGTCCGCACCCTGCCTGGGTCGTTGTGGGATTAGGGTTCAGGGGTCTGGAGTTTAGGGTTTAGGGATTTAGGCTCTTGGGGCTTATTTTGGGGTTTAGGGCTTGGCTTGGCTCCTGGAGTTTTGAGTTGCAGGGTTTTGGGGTGGGATCTAGGACTCAGGGTTAAGATTGACCTTATGGTTCAGAGTTTAGGGGCTGAGGGCTCCAAACTTAGGGCTTGGGCTACAGCAACGTCTGGGGCCTAGTCTTGCAACACTAGTGACCTCGCCTCCCATTAAAGCCTGCAAGGTCCAAGAAGCAGGACGGAGTGGGGAGGTGTGAAACTGTGGTCATCGTCGGTGGCAAACATAGGCTGGTTTCCCAGCCAGTTGGCCAGACTGATGATGTTGTCGTTCACTGTCTTCAGGTGCTTCTGCAGGACGTTGAGGTGATCCACGTTGCTCTTGAAACGACTGTTGATATCCACACCCAACTGGTCGATCTGCGTGTTTACCTTGAGTGTGGGGGCAAAAGTGACAGCAATGCAGCAAACCATAACCCCAAAGTCCTAGACCCGAAACCCCTGGCCCCCGCGAAGCCCTGACAAACCCTTATTAAAGCAAAAAACCTGTACAACCCGATTGAAAGCCGTTTAGAACCCTATAAACATCATATAACCCCTATATAAATCCTGGCCTGGTTCGCGTAGCCCGTCTCCATGTCGGCCATCTGCTCGAAATATGCCTTCAGAACCCGCTCTTGCTCAAGGAAGTTCCTGGGTGCTTGCGAAGGATTTTTCGGGCTAGATGGGTGCAGGGTTCCGGATTTAGGGTGGCCTGAATAACTCGAATAGGGTTTTGGGGTATGGTATCTCAGCATTCTAATAAGGAACCCTAAGGAATAGTATTCGCAACTAATTTGGCTTGAACACTACGATGGCTTTATCGGGGGCTACTACGGGCACGAAGACTGTGTAAGGCTTGACCTTAGTTGATTTTGCTGTAGCCGGGATGTCTAGCACGTCAGTTGAACACCAAACCCTAATAACCCTAAACCCTAAGAACCCTAAACCCTAACAACCCTAAACCCGAATAACCCTAAACCCTAAGAACCCTAGCCTAATAACCCTAATAACCCTAATAACCCTAAACCCTAAGAACCCTAAACCCGACTAACCCTAAACCCAAAGAACCCTAAACCCTAATAACCCTGATAAAAAAACCCTAATGACCCTAAACCCTAATAACCCTAAACCCTAAGAACCCTAAACCCTAAGAACCCTAAACCCTAAACCCAAGCCCAGGTGCTGAGAGCTCTGATCTTGGGTCTCTTTCAGCTTGTCGAAGAGCTCGGTGGTATACCTAGACTTCGCAGAACTAAAGTGCGCGTTTTGGGGTTTAGGGTTTAGGGTGTAGGGTTTGGGATTTGGGATTTAGGGTTCAGGGTATAGGGTTTAGGGCTTAGGGTTCAAGGTATAGTATAGGGTTTAGGGTTTAGGCTTTAGGGCGCACGGTTTAGGGCTCAGGCTGACCCCCTTTCCCGGTTGCTCAGCGTCAGATAGGGAGGTCCCAACACAAGCCTGCAACACTCGGAAAATATAGGGGCCTAAATAAGTTCAGTACTATTTTGGGGGGGCTCCTTATTGTAAGTGTAGTTGGGCCCCAAAATCCTATTCTAATTAGTAAGGCCCCTACATTACACCTCTACATCCCTTTGAGACACACCCGTTGCAAACCGAAAACAGAAAGCGCAACAGGCTACTGAATTGGGGCCAAAGATACCACTTCAGCATGTCGTGCAGCGTGGTCACGACGTGGGTCTCCTGCTGGTACGCTCTTGGGGGAGGCCCTCCCAAACCCCTCGTTTCGGGTTTAGGGTTTAGGGCAAAGGTAAACTCGAACAGCGAACCCGAAAATCCCGAAACTCTAAAGCGTAGAACCCCAGGAGCTAGACAGACCTTGAAGGCTCATAGTTGTAGCCTGACCAGTAAACTACAAGAAGAAAACTGCCACATACAAAAAGCACTACTGTAAGTCCGTAAGGGAAAGCAAAATGAAAACATACATACAGACGTACACATAAGGGCAGATGCATATATACATATATATATATACATATATATATATATATATATATCTCTCTCTCTCTCTCTATCTATCTCCCTACCTATCTGTCTATTATTTGTCTATCTAGTGGGGGTTAGGGGACCCTTGGGGATATAGACCCTCTCAATAACGTCCCGTTTAAGAGAGCCAGAAGAAGGGTTCTTAAAGGTGCCCTCTAAGGGGGTCTCCCTAATACTACCTAGGATCTATATAGTTTCCGAAAATAGGGGACCCGAATACAGTACCCTAAATAGTCGGATCCTTATTATACGGACCCCAAAATAAGGTACCCCTTATTTTCAGAAACCCCCGAACTACCCTAAACCCTAAACCCTAAACCCTAAACCCTAAACCCTAAACCCTAACCTAGGATCCATGTACTAACCGGGCCTGTGTCTTCAGAGACTTGAGGATGGCTGAGTTTCCCTTCAGCACCGCATCTTCAATGCAGTGCATGTCGCAGAAGGTCTGCCGGCGCAGGCGCAGGGTTTGGGGCGTAGGGAGTAGGGTTTAAGGGCTTAGGGTTCAGGGGTTTAGGGCATAGGGCTTAGGGTTTTAGGGTGTAGGGCTTAGGAAAGTTTAGGGCTTAGGGTGCAGGGTTTTAGGGTTTAGGGCTTAGGAAAGTTTAGGGCGTAGGGTTCAGGGTTTTAGGGTTTAGGGCCTAGGGAAGTTTAGGGCGTAGGTTCAGGGTTATGGGTTTAGGGCCTAGGGAAGTTCAGGGCTTGGAGTTCAGGGTTTTGGATTTAGGGCTTAGGGCAGTTTAGGGCTTAGAGTTCCGGGTTTAGGGTTTAGACAGGCGGTTACAGCTTTCGGTCTGTGCACGTGTGATTTGGATGCCTCAAGTGTGGTTTCATGTGGCATGCGTGGGACTTCAGAATATCTGTGAGCAGAAGTGCTGTAAAAACCGGTGTTTTGGGCAGTGCGTCAATATTGATGAAGCGGCAAAAAACGCAATACATACCGAGGAACGCTGTAAATACCGGTTGCTGCTGGGCATGCTTGCAGGAAGCCGATAGAACCCACGTCAGTACCCACACACACACACACACACACACATACGCGTATACCGAAACGGGAGGAAAGAAAGCACACGGAAAATCGAGTGGCACTGACCTTCTGTTACGGTTCCTTAATGGGTACTGCAGGGGTGTAGGGTTCACGATTAACAAGATTTATAGGGTCCAGGGTGTAGGGTTTAGAGTTTAGGATTACAGTAGGATTTGGGGGACATGTTGTTGGGTGCTGGAATGCAGATTTGGGCGTGTTAGGGCTTGCGATAAGGTCATGTAAAACCATTAATAAAGCCCTAAACGCCTAAACCCTAAATCCCAAAGCCCTAAAAATCCTTCTAAACGAAGAACCATACCCTAAAACACCCTAATTTCCCTTGAATCCTAATTTCCGATGAGAACTCGAACCCTTTTCCGTACCTTGAACATCTGGCCGTCGGTGTAATCCGAGCAGGTGTCGTAAGCCTCTAGCCCCGGCTCTTCTTGGGGTTTAGGGTTTAGGGCTTCGGGGTTGGGTTTAGAGTTTTGGGGTTGGGGTTTGGAGTTTTGGGGTCGGGGTTTAGGGATTGGGGATTGGGGTCCAGGGTCAGTCTAGGGTTTGGGATTTAGGGTTTAAGGTTTGTCGTGTAAAAGCTAGGCGACAGTATCTGGCGACGAGGGTATGTCGAGTGCATCATACTGTGGCGATGAGATTTGAAAGCCAGTCTAAAGAAGGTTTTTCCTTCTTTCTCAGAAGGCGCCCAACCCACCCAAACCTACTCCCGCCAGGGACCCACGCCAAAACAGACGTCTTCTCTGCCCTCGACTTGCAGGGCAGGCCAGGGCAGTGGCCATGGCTGGTCGGGTTGGGATTTTCGGGTTTAGGGTTTAGGGGTGGGTTTAGGATTCTAGGGCTTATGCCCCTACTACTATGCAGATCGAGACGTCCTTCGCCATGCCAATATACGCTAACGGTCGCGAGGGCCCTGCGGTATGTTCCTCAATAAGTTCGAAAGATGGCAGTACTACCGATCATCATAGCAATAACCATAATATCTCCTTTCATGATATGAAAAGTAACAATAGCAATAGCAGTCATAATGGTAACAACAACAACAAACAAAAAAGTGTGTGGGTGTCCTTGGGCGGAAGGGAAGGTTTACATCCCTCCAAAGACCCCTCCCTCAACCCTAAACTCTAAACTCTTTTAGGGGTTTAGGGGATTAGGGGTTTGAAGGTTAAGGGCTGAAGGGGATTCAAGGTTTAGGGTTGCCCGAAACCCTAAGCCGAAAGCCCCGAGAAGAAGAGACCAGCCTCGTTCTCCCCGTAGTAGCGTTGCTGGGCGCTCCAGTACCTAGCACTTAGAAAGTAAAGGGGGTCGAGCCTGGGGCTACGGATTTAGGGTTTAAGGTTTAGGGTTTGGGTTTGGAGTGTGGTGGTTAAGGGGTTTAGGGGTTTAGGGGTTTAGGGGTCTAGGCTTTAGGGTTTATAGGTTTTAGGGTTTAGTTCGGGTTTCCGGGGTCGCAATTCTGTCTCAGGCTTTCAACAGACGAGCACAGACTCCTCCCCATGTTCCGGGATCTACGCGCAGCAGCAGCCTCCTGAGCAAGCACTGAACCAGAAACCCTGCACCCTCAAGCCGAAGTCCTAAAGCTTCAACTCCCAGGACCCCCCCCCCAAGGGCCCTTTAATGGAGCCCTTGTGGTCCTTAATAGCGGATATTTACAGTAGGGTATATTAGAGGGTCGTTGGGGGATCTAGGTCTAAACTAAGGGCTCAGGGCCCAAAAGCCCAGGTGCTGGCTGAAGCCGAAGCTGGTCGTCTCGCTGAGAAACTCCACGATCCTGGGCATACAGCCAAGACTTCTTGGCTTCATCGGGAATTCAATTCAAAATTGAGGAGGCTTGAAGTTTGGAGCTTAGGGTGTGGGTTTTGGGGTTTGAGATGGAAGGCTCTAGGAATCCCTAAACACTAGGAATAAGGGCACGCCACTTACTGGATGGTGCCTTACAGCGCGCAGTCGGTTTAGGCTTCAGGAGTTCAGGATTTGGGTTTCGGGTTTGAGCTTAGGATTAGGGTTTAGGGTGTTGGCCCACGTGCAAAGGCCGGTGTTGCAAAATGACTCCGAAGCCAAATAATCCCATGAACTTCACTGACATCAGAAGAATACAAACCCTCTAAAACCTAAACCCCCGATTCATCCCCACTCCCTTAAAAAAGGACTTCCAAAGGAATCACCGGAATCACCGAGTGGTCTGCTCATCAAGGGACTCCATGAGCATTAGGAATCCATTGCCGTCGTGTTTAATCCTAAACCCTAAAACCCCAAACCCCCAAACTGTAGGATCTAGTGTTTAGGGTTTAGGATTTTGCATTGTGGGCTTTATCCCGGGTGGGGCTTAGGGGTCACAGATCCCCAAGCGACAACGTCCTTCTACTCTAGATCCCTGACAGAAGTCTCCTTTCAAAGACACCGATCGCTGAAGAAGCAAAGCTACAACAGAACACCGCCACTCGAAACTTCACAGCGCGCGCAGAAGTCAAAAAGCAGTTTCTCAGTTACCGGCAAACTGCCCTAGACCCTGGACCCCCAAACCCTAAACCCTACACCCTACACCCTAAACCCTAAACCCCTAAGACCGAAAGCCTCAAACCCAAACCCACTAAGCCCTCAGCCCCCAAACCCCAAGCCTGAGACCCAAGCCCATAGCTTGAAACCCTCAACCTCAGCCCCCAAACCCTAGGCCCTTATAGGGTTTAGGGTTTAGGGTTTAGGGGGATCCCTTATAGATCCCTTGTAGATCCCTTATAGATCCCTGGTAGGATCCCTTCTAGATCCCTTTTGAGCAAGCCTTTTAGCCCCCTTTACGGGAACCCTAGTGGGTTTAGGGTTTAGGGCTGTTAGGATTTAGGGTTTAGGGCTGTTGAGACTTTGGGTTTAGGGTTAAGGGCTTTGGGTGTAGGGTTTAGGGTTTATAGGGCTTAGGGTCTAGGGTTTAGGAACCCTAAACCCTAAACCCTAAACTCTAAACCGGGTTGTTAGGATGTAGACTACAGCCGAGCATCAGTGAGCAGATGTCGCCGAAGCGAGTTGAGAAGTCCACACCCAGGCCTACGCTTGTCGCGCAGGCCCTGCTATGGGGTCTTTACGGCTTTGGGCTTAGGATTCTGATGTTTCTTCCTTCCTTCTTCCGGCTATACTATACTGAAACTAGTTCATGTAGGGTTTAGGGTTCAAAAATGTAGATGTTTCACGAAATAGGCTATACCAAAACTTCTGCCCTAAACCCTACTGAACCCTCAACCAGGAGACCCAGGGGCGCCGCCAACTTTCCGAAGTCGGGGATCACCCCGCAGATAGCCAGGATCCTGGGATGAGATATGCTCGACTAGTTGCGGCTTTGGGAACTTGCGGGTTGAGGCTTGAGGGTAAGTAAGTATATGCAGGCGAGTATGCAGGCGTATGTATGCGTGTGTGTGTGTGTATATATATATATATATATATATATATGGGTTTATGGTGTAGGGATATATATATATACATACATACATACATACATACATACATACATACGATCGCGAAGATTCTTGGATAGGGATCGCTGTTCGGGTGGCATATCTCTGGCTTATGGATTGTACGGTCCAGGGGCTATGGCTTAAGATTCCAGATGTCGGTTCAGGGTTAGGGCTTACACTGTTGCAGGGTTTGGCATTTCAGGCATGTGTCTAAAGCTTCTTTCCAGGGTGAGGCTTAGGGTTTAGGATTTGCGTTTTAGGGATCTTACATTCAGTTAAGCTTTAGGATTTCGGCTACTGCTTGTTGAACATGAATACCATGTCTATATGCAAGGGCGCTTTTGGAACTCTAAAAAGCTAAAAGCCCCTCAAAACCCTAAAGCCCTAAAACACCTGAAAATCCTAAAGCAAACCCCTAAACTCCCAAACCCAAGGAACACCCTAAACCCAAGCCCAAAACACCCCTAAAAGCCCAACTCCCTGAGGCAGGCTTTTTGGCGCCCTCTTTTGGCAGTGTGAGGAGCCCGGTGGTCGTGAGATCCAAGTAGTTCTGCTTGACCTCTTAACGGGGTCTCGGCTTTAGGGTTTAAGGCTTAGGGTTTAGGGTTTAGGGTTTAGTCCTTTAAGGGTTCCTTCGCGGGTTTCCTTTGCGGGTTCTGCAAGGGTTAGCATAAGGCTTCTGGCTCTACCAAGGTTGCTCAGGCTTAGGGCCTAGGGTTAAGGGTTTCGGGCTTAGGGTATAGGGATTTAAGGGCGGGGCGGCTTTTTGGGGTTGGGAGTTTTGGGCTTAGGGTTTAGGGGTGAGGGGAACTTTTTGGTTTAGTCTTGCCCCTAATAGACATCATCAGAAGGATCCGAAACACTGCCCTTTACTATCAATCCGGGCTCTACGCTATACCTAAACACACAGAATAGTCCGTAAATCACGGGAAGCCTCAGCGAAGCAGAGCGCCGGTTCCATCTTAAACCCTTTCAGAATCCCTACAGAAGCCCCGATGGAACCCTTAAGGGGGACCCTGCTCTGCCTGCAAAAACCCTACAAGGCATCCGAAAAAATCTGGGAAGGGAGGGTAGCAGTCGGGGCAAACACCACCTCTCCAAAACCCTTATGCAATGGTACTCCAACCCTGCACAAACCCCGATACAAACCCTTTAAACACGCTGCAACATGCGTGAGGTCTCCTAAATACACTGGAAGATCTGGGTAGGATCCGTAGCCGTCAAAGAAGCCTAACTTAATGGAGGAACACGCCCAAAACCCTAAACCCTAAACCCCAAAGCCCCAAACCGCGAAGCACCTACGGAACCCTTCTAGAATCTAGAACCCTTCTAGAGCCCGTCTAGAACCGTCTAGAATCCGTACAGGAACCCTACATATGGGTAGTTCTCTAAAGCTGTATCCGTTTAGAGTCCCTTTTATAAGGGTGCCGTACTATATTGGGGACCTAACAACGGGACCCTGATTTAGAGAACTACCCAAGTCTCTAAACCCTTCACCCAAAACCCCTAAACCATCAACCTTAAATGACACTAAACCCTAAACCCTTCACCCAAAACCCTAAACCCTCAACCCTAAATGACACTAGACCTTTGGGGGGCCTCATGCTTCACCTCCTGCTCAGCCAACTTTTGAGCTCGAATCTCCTGCCTGCCGGTGAGGGGTTTTTGAGGGTTTAGGGGTTTAGGGTTTTGGGGTTTAGGGTTGTAGTGCTTAGGGTTGAGTGGCGTCTTGGCTTTAGGGCTTTAGGGTTTAGGGTTGAGTGGGGTCTTGGGTTTAGGGTTATAGGGTTTTGGGTTTGGGGCTCCTTTCAAGGGCATTGTAAGGAGTCCAGTGGTAGAACGGTTCCTGTACGACTTCTCTACGGGCACAATTGAGGTTTATCATTTCATGATATCTTCCGATGTCCCGGTAACTGTCATTAGCCTGGGGTTCTGTATGTTGCGCACAGGCTTTTGGGGTTTGGCTTGGGGCTGAAGGCCTGAGACTTCGGATTCGCCTTCACCTGCCATATCCTCAAGTTTTGTATAGAGTCCTTATGAACTCTCTGCTCCCCTAAACCCTAAACCCCAAAACCCCTAAATCCTTTGCTAAACCCGAAACTAAACCCTACACCCTAGGACCCCTTAACCCTAAACCTTTCAGTTTAGGGTTCATGGCTGCAAGACTCAGGATTGAAAGGCCCGGGGCATAGGGCTCTCTGTATGCATATTCCTAGATTCAGGATGGTACTATAGGAACCTGATTAAGAAACCCTGGGCCTCTTTTAGGGTTCTTATTATGAATTTCAGTATATTGGGGGTATAGGGCCAGGGTCTCTTAATCAGGTTCCCACATTATGACTCAAGGGCTGTGCATCAGGTAGAAAGCAACTCTTGCATCTGCTCTGCGGCAGTCTGGTCCTGTCTGCATCCACAATTCTTGGGCCCAGAAACTGTGTTGTAACAGTCCGCTGGGTTGCTGAAGAACCAAAAACAACAAAAATCACTTTGCTTTAAAAGGGGCTTAATTTTGCTGGTATTCTGGTAAGTAGTATAATGAAACCGGGAGTACAAGGGGCTAGTAATACCTAGCAAAAAGACCCCGAAAGTAAACTAAAATTTGGGATTTGGGATTTGCGCTCTGGAGTTTTGGGTTCGGGCTTGGGGATTCTAGAGTTTCGGATTGGGTGTTTAGGGTTTTGAGCTTCGGGCAAAGTAACCCAATAAGAACCCCACTATAAGACACCATAAGAGCTTTATAAGGACACTTATATATGTTTGGAGGTCCACGCCCTGAACCCCGCAACCCTAAAGCCCAAACCCTAGAGCCCGAAACTCTCGAAGCCCTGAGCCGCTGCAGCACGAGAGCTTAGGCTTATCTTGGGTTCATGTTGTAGGGGCCTTCGAAGTTAGAACAAGGTCTCTTTGCTTTCAAAGGCCGTTCAGATAGTGAGAGTTACCACGAGGCTCCGGTACAAAAGCCTTGAAACTTCGAGTAGAGTGTGTTGGGTATATTATAAGTATCTCATGGAAGCCTAAGGAGCAATATTGGTAATTATTCAAGCTTTTATATGTACGAAACCCCAGAATATCCCTTATAGTGACGCTTTACTATAAGCCCCTTCATAGAACCCTTTAACCAAACTCTAACGGTTAAGGAGTCACTGGAATGCTCATGCGCGCCGAACACTTCATACTCATCGGTCTTCACAGATTCAACTTCAACTTGGCGCAAGTTGCGCCAGGCCTCTAAGCAGTTACACCCGCGAGGTCCAAAGCACGACGGTCACAGTGTGCACTCCACTCATTGGTTGCGAGTCGGGCCGAGAGCCTGCAGACGGTTCGCTACAGACCCATGTTTCATAGCAGCCTTGGCCACCGTGTTCACTGCCATTTAATAGGCCTCGCAACCCCCTTTGCGCGATCTCGCACGGTTCTCGCAAGCAGACCAGTGGCTGGACTATTTGTGGGGCTGTACGCACAGTTTGAATCGGATGCTGTATTGGAAAGGAAGACGTGATGATGCAGCCATGGATGCACAACACTCGGTGAGACGGTTGTCATCAGGCAGGCATGGGCACCCTTGCAAGAACGTTGCGGACGTGTTGTGTCCCGAAATTATGCTTCGCCCATCTGAAGCCAAAACCCCGCGCCAAGAAGCAGGCATCTTGTTTGCGATCATATAAGCACTCAGACTATATGCTTGGCCAATGCCGCCAACGCTTCGTTCGCCGTCTACTGGGAGCAAATAATTAAACAGAGTCTGAAACAGACCAAAATGCAGACATTCCAGGAGTCGCTGCATTGTCCCACACGTCACAACCTTTGCAGCACATGCAATGGAAGGGCGAAGATGAACTGAACCGCCTGCAGCTCAAACTACTGCCCCTCTCTCTAAACCCTGTCGTCAAAGACCCCATATACAACATCCCAAACCCTAAGCCCTCAACCCTAATCCCGGCATCCCAGACCCTACACACTACACCCAAAACCCTAAGCCCTAAATCCTACGCGGTCCTACGCACTGCACCCACACACCAGGCTTTTCGAGAGCATCTAAGGGGTTTCGGGTTTTGGGTTGAGGGAGACCTCCTTCCTGAGGCCTGAAACCCTGCAAACTCGAAACCCTCAAGCACTGTTTAGATCGACGAAAACCACAGAAGATCCCTGAAAAACCCTGTTAAAACGCCTTCATACGGTCCTTTCTAGAACCCTGGGGCCTTTTTCGTCGCTTGCGCTCCCAAGGCCGGCTTAGGGTTTCTAAACCCTAAACCCTAAACCCTTAAACCTAAACCCAAGCCCTAAGCCCTTAAACCTTAAGCCTAAACCCTAGACCCTAAACCCTTGAACCTAAACC